TCCCAGAATTCTCCAGCCAGCTCTGCTGGCTGGAGAATTCTGGGAGTTGAAGTCCACAAGTCTTAAAGTTGCCAAGTTTGGGAACCACTGTTCTAATGCAACTGCCTCCTAGAATACAGGAAGCAGAATTCCCAGCATTTATCCTCAGGCTGCTTTTAGTGAATTCATGTGTAATAAGACCTTGTTCAAAATACTTTCTTAGGGATCATTACAAACATTTTGCATGTATAACCCGAGAACTGTTTGGGCAAGAATAAAGAAGTGCCATCTCTGACATCTGTCTCAGTTTTGGTAGTTTAGAAGGTCTCACACAATGCTGGGATGGTGGAGGTTATAGTAATTTAAGAACAGATTGCCCAGAAAATTGGCAGCACCTGTGTTGCTTTCTTCCCTTCGCTTTAAACCCTCTCCCCAAGGACAGCGTGACAAGGTTAACAATAAAAACTTTGCTATGAAATAATTGAGTGTGTGTGGGAGATAGAAAGAGAGAGAGAGAGAGGGAGGGAGAAGTGTGTAAAAATGTAAAGCAGCCTAAAGCAGCAAGAAAATGATGTTTTTTCTGTATCACTACTCACAAGGAGTAGTAGGTAGAGTGGCAGAAATTGTAGCAGCAGTGTGGAAGATTGGAAAATAGCAATAGTGAATAATAGTTATGTGAGTGATTGTGTGAATTTTTTAAGGACCTAGGATGCTGTTAGATCTTTTGGCATCTTGGACCCACCAAATTGGATATAGTTGAAAAGAACTTGTGACAAATACTTTGGGAGGTAGTTATCAGGTGTCCTGTTATGACCGGATGTGAGTAAATCTATTTGAAATTGGGTTGTGCGGACAGGCTGAGTATAATGCTGATATGTTTACCCACCCTATTGTTCAACATTATTGCTCTTGAGTTTCTAGATCTCATTGAAATTGCTTAGTTATTTTTGGTTGGGGCAGCATAAAAGCCACAACAGAAAATAAAGTTCAGGTTTGAAGTTGAATTTCATATCTTTGCTACTGCTGGTAGACAATCTCCCAGGCCTTATATATTCAGGTAGTTCTCAACTTGCAATCACAACTGAGCCCAGAATTTTGGTTGTTGTACATTATTAAGCAAGTCACCATGTGATCTGATTTGACTTTTATTATGACAACTATTTTTTGAAGATTGGTAAGGTTTTTTTTATTAGTTTTTATGTATTTTATATTATATATTAATAAAAAGAAAAAAGTGACACCACCATCATGTGGTTGTTCAGCAAATCCAGCATATACAATGGGCAGAAAAATGTCCACTGAGTCACTACCCCATCATTTTGTAACACCTTACTACCAAAGGCCAACATAGCTCTTACAGTCTTTTTTCAAGAGAGGAGGAAGGTAAAAATGATTTTTTGCCAGATATTTAAGAGTACAAGGAGGTTTCCTTAATTTTATGGTTTGAGGAATTGTTGGATTTAGTTCTATGTTAATTAGACATCTGAAATTGATCTTTGAATTGTGTGTGGTTATTTGAATTAGTAAATTTTTACTGACTATTATCCATTTGAACTCCATGAATATCAATACTGGAAAGAAAGAAATAAGAACAAATATCTATAAACAGATTTATGCTTAAACTACATATTCAAAACAAATAGGCCTTTTTCTAAGCAGATATTATTTTCGCATTCTTATGGTTTTTTTCCAAATGGAACAATAACTTTTTCTGTTTCTATTTTTCTTCTTGATCACATTCATTTACAATGTTGCATAATTTTCCCCAAATTCTTATTTTTTCATTGCTACCTTCAATACAACATAACACAAAACTATTGCCATCTTATAGATTTCTCCTTTCTTATTAACCATAACCATGACATCAATTCATATCTTCTGACTTTTAGTCCTTTCATAATTAAACCTACAGCTTTACTTCTTTACATGTATTCAACTCTATAATATTAGACTACCTTCATTTAGTAACCATCATTCCCTAAATACCACAGATATACACAGCTTATCNCTGAGTCAACCCTGAGCCGGTGAGATTTGAACCGCTGACCTGCTGATCTAGCAGTAGCCTGCAGTGCTGCATTTAACCACTGCGCCACCTTGGCTCTGTTCCAATGCTTTTAACTCTTTATTATCTTTGCAAGCTGTACATTTCTGCTCTGGCTTTTAGGTGAGCAAAGAGACAGCCTCTTTATTCTGCATCTCACTCTCAATGTCTATGGAGCTTGTCAATCATCCAGGCCATGCCTGTCCCATAAGGGCTCTTTCAAGAGGCAACTGGACTTTCTTCTTTTTCTTTGAAGACATTTCGCTTCTCATCCAGGAAGCTTCTTCAGAAATCAAAGACATTTCTTCCTCATCCAAGAAACTGAAGAAGCTTCTTGGATGAGAAGCGAAATGTCTTCCAAGAAAAAACAAGAAAGTCCAGTTGCCTCTTGAAAAAAAGCACCTTTGGGGCTCACCCTCAATGTTTCATTAATTTTAACACTGTGGTGGAACACAAATATTACATCAAAGAAATCTTTTGCAGCCTTTGTGAAAATCTCCAATTTGTGGTCCTCCTGCAAGGAATGAACCTGGTTCCCATGATAAAGAGAACCACTGCATCATTATAGATTAGGTGATTTCCACTGGGTCATCAGGAGACTTTGAAATGTGGAAGGAAAAACCGTAGCATTCACATTGTGCATCAGAAAGATTTGTCTTCTGGGAGACAAAGCAAATCATCTCTATGTATGTATAATTTTATCCTGTCTGTGATAAAGAGACTGTGTCCTAAATAAGGGGGTAAATCTCTAGAGTTCCTAGATACATAGTCATACCCGACTGAAACCTGACAATCCATACATACCAAAGCATCGGAGCCTTCTACTGAATAAGCCAACTATTCCAGTTACCAAAGAACAGAAGAATAATCAACGGCAATATAGACAAGACTTACACATACCAACCTTTGTCCACATTTGCTACTAAATTCTCACTCTCACTCTGAGTCTCTGCATTTTTCAACACTGAGAAGAAAGAGAACCAGCTATATCAGATTAAAAATTAAACCGTGAATCAAAATAAAATATTTCCTCCCCCACCCCCCCCACCCGAAAGAGATACAAATTGTGAAAAGTCACCTTTCTTTTGCTTTCTGTTAGGGAAGCCATCAATCTTTTCCTATTAACCAAAAAAAGGGGAGAAGAACAATTTAAATTAATGAATGTGACACTTACAATTGTTAAATGGTTAAACAGTAGTCTTTGCTTCTATTTTCCTCTAGTTTGACGTGTATTTTGCCTCTTTCTTTGCCCATTCAAAGTTAAGGCAAATGTTTTGTGGTTGAGGCAAACCTCTCCCCTCTATGCATACAAAGATACCACGCATCCTGGATATTTTTCAAATATTATCATTATCATCCCAGTTAATTGGAATAAACATCATTTCTAAAGATGCCATTTCTGTTGCCAAACTGAAGAAGCTATAAATCAAACAGTTCAGTTCTACAGTTTCAGTCCCTTTTTTTTTTGCATTAGTAAACTTATCGAAATAATAGGCATGTCTCATATAAATGTGAGGAGCAATGGAAGGTGTCTTTCAGTTGTGGGAATTGTGCCCAAGAGAGCACAAGACCTTCTTATGTCTCAAATGACTCCTGACAATATTCATTCCTTATCTTAGAACACATTAAATACCCCTGTGATGCTGGATGACTACTTACAACTTAAAACAATACTACAAACTGTAGTCTTTTTTTTTTAAAGGAAAAAACTGTATATGTATATTATTGCTTTAAAAAGTTACCTGTGCTTTCTTCAATTCCTTCTCAAGTACTTTCTTCTCTGCTTTCAGTTGTTTAAATTCCTGAGTGTGCTTTGCTGCAGCTTCTTCGTTTAAAGAAACAAAGTAATAAAAATGCATTAAACAACACAAGATAGCTTTCAAACGTAAGAATCTATGAGTGCACTTGGATGTTAGTACCTTTCTGTTTGGTTTAGCCTTCTAATATTTATTCAGGGTTTGCAACACTGAGCTCTGTACCAGTATGTATTTCATTAGGATTTCATCACACTGGATGTGTGTACAGCTTTGCTTTGTTAAGAGTCATAGTAAAACATGAACAGCAGACACCAGTTCCACAGCTTTTCTCTAAATGTATAAACAAAAACCTTATGTGCTTGGAGTCTCTTTTTGGTGGTCTCACAAACCAAAATGACTCTTAGTGAATAAGAGTATTTGAAAGAAACTGCTTTCATATAGTAAGTTATATGTTAAATATACAAAATGCGTATCCAGAATGATGCTTCTTATACATCAGTACTTCCTCAATGTTTCTTGACAGACTATAAAATGCAAATATTAGTCATAATGATTCCACTATATATTTTCAGAATGCAATATATAGATTCACATTTCTGCAGAACTTATTCAGGTTCGTCATCGTCTAATCAAATTCATTAAAATATAACTCAAATATGCAAATATATTCTGATCACAATTGGCAACTGCAACTCCATTGTTAAGTAATGTGGTTGTAAAGCAAGCATCATGTGACTGGGCCATTTATTGACTGGCCATGATTGATAAGCAAATCACTGCAGTCATTAAATGCAATCTCATGTAACTATGATCTGTGAATTCCTGCTGGTTTCCCAATGTTTGTTGGAAGCCAGCTGTGACGGTTACCAAGTGCCTGAATTGCAATCACCTGACCATGGGGACATGACAATGGCTGCATGTTTAAGGACTGGTCATAAAACTTCCTTTTTCAGCAGTCATAACTTACAATGGCTAAATGAGCAGTCAGTAAGCAAGAACTACCTGTATTAAGGCAATTGTAAACTAGATGTCCAATCTCAAGTACTCTGCGGTTTCTCAACAGCATAAATGGAATTTGATAGTTAAGCAGTCTTAGTTTTCTCCTTAATTTTCAAGCAGACATGTATAGAATTGCATTGAGAGACTCAGTGAATAGGAGCTTAATTATAAGAAAATGGATCTAGAGCTTGGTGTTAATGTTTGCTGACATGTACATAAAAAATTAATTACTAACAATTATTAATTTCTGCAAATATTTCAATCTGTTTCCACATAAAAGTAATGATGCTTTCCAAATATGTATCAGAAAAATAGCAGTTAGATTCTTGCATTCTGTACCTCTACTGGATCACCATGGATAATCCAATTTATCATTACTGAGCACAGTGGCTTGGCTGAACCACACAACAAGATGTTTTCAACCCAGAAACCTTATTCACGCCTTGGCTCCACCCTATCTGTTTGGTCATTTCCGTGGCAGTTCCTGCTGCTGCCATCTATTTTTTAAGGGGTCCATCACCTGATCTCCTACTCTTAAACCCAATGGGTTATCACAACCAGTTTTGATGGGGCTGTGGTTTTTCTGCTTGCACACTTACACTGATGATGTTAGTTAATCAGGTAATGAAAAGTCTGCCAGCAAACAACCAAGTTTAGAGAATACCAAGAACTCCACAAAAAAGATTTATTGTATGACTTCTAGACCATTTAAATTTATTCCCTTACAAACAGATTAAAGGAGTGTTTTCAAACTTTTTCCTTCATTACCCAAAACCTTTTATCAGACAGGATTTTTTTTTTGGTCAATGAAGGTAAAACACATTAAATATTTTTGTTGTGTTTGGATAATTGGGTCATATGTCATTAAAGAAAATTTTGTTTTATCTAATTTTGGATAATTTACCCAGATTTGGGACACACTGGGTTACAATTAAACTCCACCTTATTTCATATTTCCTTTTTCAATTAAAAACAAAGCAAGAAGAACTAGGCTGGAAACGATTGTGCATTATCTATGGCAATGTTTCAGTTTTTTGCCAGAGAGTCAATGCAGTGAGATAATGTTCCACTTTCTTTTCCCAGAAGAATATAAGAGCTTTTTAGCTTTCCATCTTTTTCCTTTATTAATGTTGATAATTAAGACAATGGATAAACATTAGTAAATGGATGCTTTAACCCTGATTATAATGCATGGCATTGCATGAAATATATTTACCTAGTTTACAGGGATGAAGAAGAGATAACAGTTTGAGAAGCAAGTTCAATTTTATGGCCAAAATCTCTTTTTTGTATATTTAAATATTTTTTGCCAATTACACATTTGTGTTATAACTACCCCACAACAATAAATACTAAATTACCTTCTAGCTTTTTCACTTTATTTTCTAGTTTTTTCTTCCTGAAATTATAAAATAAACACATTTTTAAAATGCATATGTGAAAAATGAGCAAAGAACTTCGATATATTTTTGTTTTTGTTTAATTGATGTAATCTATTATGTTTAATTCAAAGTTGCATTTTAGATTTAGCTCTATTTCACAATTTGGTTAGCTTTATGAGGTGTTGGCTGCCCATAGTGTTCTTTACAGATAACAATTGGAATTGTGGAACCATTAAAGGTGGGTGTTGTGCAAAATCTGTAAAGGTGAGTGAAGCACCTGGTTCTTTTAACAGTGAGGCAACCATGTCGTTTGAAAGATTTCAAAAGCCGTCCTGAGCTACCTGCATATGCATACTCACTTAGCTTCTCTGGTGGTACTACCAGAAGTGTTGTCTGTGCATGCTCAGAGACACACTTCAAGGACAGACACTTCCGGCTTTATTGAGGGCCCCCTTCAAATACTTTGTACATCCCTAACAAAGACTGCTCATAACATACAAGAAACTCATCAAGAGAAACAGGAAGGGAAATTGTGGAGAAAACTTACTAACCTGGTTGGCAACTAGCTTGAGGTGTTTCCTTTCCTGAACTACTGAAAGGTACAGAATTAAGTCTACTTCCCTCATCAAGCAAAACCATTTGGTTACACTGTTATCACTGCAGAAGAAGAGGTAATCTATGCAAAAAGGGAACGAGTCATCAGAAAGGCTAAATGGTAGTTCCCTGTTGTGGCCCAGCAGGAGCCGTTGGAGCTGCCACCAGACTCTGACGGCGAGGGGCCCTATGAGTCGACTCTGGAGGATGTGGAGGACCCTGGACAGGGTTCCGACTCCGAGCAGGGCGCAGAGAGGCTGGTTAGCCACCAGGAGGCGCCTGAGCCTTGGACCAGTGGGGAGGAGACAAGGGAGTATGATCTGGACGTCATGCATTGGAGCAGTGGGGAGGAGCCAAGGGAGTTGTTCCTGGATGCCCAGCACAGAAGAGCTGGAACAGAANAAAAAACAGGAAGTTCCTGTTCGTACTGTATTGTATAAATGTAGTGTGTATGTCTAAAAAAAAAATGACACTGTGAAAGAATTGAAGTGGTGCATATAAGTCATGCTCCCAGAATGCTCACACCCAATGTCTCCAAATCCAGTCTTCTTGTATTTTCCTGGAAATCTGAAAGGAATTCCATAAAAAAACAGGAGTAGAGTCCTCTGATTTTATTTTAGCCCACAACATCTTTTTTCACCTTCATTACCTATAATTCCACCTTGTATGTGAAAGCTGTAATAAAACCAATAGAATATTTCTATAATGAAGAAGAGTCAGAGGAATATTTATAATGAAGAATCAGAAGATTCTTCATTACAAAATATTCCATTCGTTTTGGGGACAATAGTTCATAGCAAATATTCGGTTGGTTTTTGAGACTATATCATGGCAAACTGCTTAGATGAATAATGACTAACAGCTGGAATCAAAAGAGCAGTGTGTACTTATCTTGATCGGCATATAGGGCTTTTTCCTCAGACCAATTAAGGCTTATCTTTCTGAGAACTTGTACTTACCTCTTGCACCTGAGTTAGTAATTAGCAATCATGAGAAGTGAATTGTGATTGTGACCTTCTGACCATCTGTGCCTTGTTTTTTCCCCTATGTTGCACCCTTTTAGAAATCAGGCATAGCATAGTCCTTGCCTATTCCAGATACAAATAATACAAGATACATTTTTGGAAGTCTCATATCATTGAACTTTGCAATGATCAAAGACCCATAATATGCCCCATAGGTAGGCAATAGTTGCAGAAATTTGTTGCTGTTTGGGTTGCCCGGTAAATTAGAGGATAAAAGCTAAATTAAAAAAAAATTGTCAGGTTATTGCCCTGTCTGTCTCTTTAATCTTTGCCTTTAGCAGTGTTGAAAGAAATGCCTTTCTGGGTTCAGCTCCAAGTGGGGAAAAAGACACTGGAGACATGGAGGCTGCTTGGAANTTGACTCAGCCTTCCATCCTTCCGAGGTGGGTAAAATGAGGACCCGGATTGTTGTTGGGGGCAATATGCTGACTCTGTAAACCGCTTAGAGAGGTCTGAAAGCCCTATGAAGCGGTATATAAGTCTAACTGCTATTGCTATTGCTATTGCTCCTGGGCAATGGTGATATCATCTGCTAATCATTCTAACTTCTACAGAGAAACTGTAGATTGGATACCAATCAAAATAATACAGTATTCCCTGCTAATGATAAGGGCAATTATTTGGTAAGGGCAATACTCATCAGATTTGATTATGGCTCAAATTCCACAAACATAACCAAATACCACTTTTACCACAAGCACACTACTATGCAAGCTAGAATCTCTAAAAGGTACAAGCAGTGTAGTGAATGCCTAATAATGCTTACTGGGATGGGGAAATCACAATTCAACTTGTAAACAGAAACCTTTTTGCTTTATGTCCACCTAATACAATGTTCTGAAGTAAATCCAAACACCAGAATCAATGGAGAAAACTCAGAGAGGTGCCTACTCCAGATGTCTATTTCTCAGATTCTAGAAATTATAGATAAGGATTCTACTACAAATCAAGTCCAATACTTAAGTATGGCTAGTTTCTAAATGGCCAGATTAGGCTTGGTTGTAACAAGGAAGAATTACCTTCAAAAAGAATGCTTTACTGAAATTGTTAGTGAGTGACCAGCTTCCTTTTATGGCTTGTTTGACCTAAGGTTTTGTGAGCAGAACAGACTATTCAACAGTCAGTGGATTTGTTACTTTGTAGGAAAAAAAGTGCAAAGATACTATATAAACACAATTGTTTCAGTTTATCTGCCAAACTAACCTAAGTATTTTAATAGTAAAATAGAATGTGCTTGGGTGAATAAACAGAACACTTGTGTCATCTAATATTGACCAAAGCTACTTTCAATGGTATTCATTTTTGTATTTTGCTTCCATTCATCAAGCATCATATTAAACTACAATAACTATGTGGAAAAAAAAATCAATGATGTACTGCAGAGAGATTAGCAAATTCATGGCTACGATTTCTACAGACTACTTCAAATAAATGCTAGAGTAGATTTTTACTAGATTCTTGTTGAAACACCTTGTTCGCTTAGACAAAAATAAAGATTTTATGTCTTGGAAAGCAGACTAACAAAGCCTTAACCAGAATGAAAAGCTGAAAATGCATTATTGTTTTGTATACGCAGCATGAGTAAATAAGTACTTTAGTAAAAAATAATAATCATCACACAGAATTTAACTCAGCAGCTGAACAAAATATACTTATCAAGCTCTTATTTTAGGGAAGAGAGAGAGGGAGGGAAAGAGAATTCTGCTGACTCAGAGTTTAACTTGAAGGTCTAAAAGAAAATTAATAAATAGCACTACAAGCAAGCTAATAATAATTTTAAGAAAGAACATTATTTTATGATGGCATGAAAAAGTGGAAGAAAGTCAAAGACTAAGATAAAAAGAATGAAGAGTACAATAAAAAAGGATAAAAAAGTATTCATCTAAAAGATATGTTTGAGCTTCTAAACAATTTATTGGTCTGAAACAGATATCAAAGTAAATAAACGAAAGCAAAACATAATTAAGAGGTGATAGGATATTTTGAAAACTTTTTAAGATGAAAAAACTTTAGGAATATGATTCAGTTCACTTTTCTTTAATTGTCCTTCTATAAACTAAAGACAACTTAAGAAAAATGAATTGATTCATATTCCTATAGTGTTTTTTTAACTTAAATAGTATTCAAAATACTCAGACAATATCACTTATTGTAAAATTCATGAAAGTTTTTAAGATGGAATCCATCTTGATCATTTGGATATCAATGTCACTTGAATAAATGAATTCTAGTATTTTAATGATACATTGATTATTAAAAGCAGTAAAAATAATTTCATAATTAGTAAAAGTTATAAACTCTGATATTAATATGAACTATTGTACATCTCTACTTACATTATATTAAATCAGATGGAAATCTGGCAAGGTGGCTTACTCTCAAGAAAGCAAAATCTTACTGAAAGGGGCGATTTAAATACAGTATTCCTTAGTTACATTACACATACTTCTTTGTAAAGTGACTTCAGATCTTAATCTTATATAGTAATGCTGAAATATGGATTCTGTTTCTAAGATTGTATAACATATTTACAATTGGAATTCTTTAAATTTCTCTGTTCTAAATTAGCAAAACCTACAAATACTACAACAACAATAACTATATGGAAATTTGTTTTGCTTTAAAGGCAAATTGCTTAAGTTCCAAGGAACTTAAGCAAAAAATTTCAGCACAATTCAACAGGGGTAACTATCACCCCAAAATTACATTGACTATCCAACAAGGGCAATGATCAGTGTATTCTTGAGATTAGAAAATGATCAAAAATTGATAGGTTCAAGATACAGAGATAGGCTTAAGATACAGAAGGATCTTAATAGATTTAAACACTGGGCCCTATCTAACAAAATGAAAGTCAATGTAGAGAAAAGGTTTTATATTTAGACAAGAAAAAAACAAGTGTACAGTATGGTACCTGGCTCCAGGTCATAGACTGTCCTAGTGGATAATCACTTAAATATGAACCAGAAGTGTGCTGCCAAAAATAGCCAACACAGTTCTAGGCTGCATTAAGAGAGGGATGGAATGAAGATCATGTGAAGTGTTAATACCACTTTATAATGCCTTGGTAAGGCCACACCTGGAATACTGCATCCAGTTTCAGTGGCCACAATATAAAAAAGATGTTGAAAGAGTGGAAGAGAAGAGCAACAAAGATGATTAGGGGACTGGAG